GCCCCTGCTCTGCCAGCCATGTCCTGTCACCGCGCTCGGCCCCCCCCCAGCCCGCAGGGAGCAGCTCGGGCTAGCAGCGAGCACCCCGCACTGAGCTCGAACCGGCCCCTGGGCCCACGGCAGAGGGTGGTGGGGAGACCCCAGGGGAGGCCGGTCAGGGCCAGGGAGGCCTAAGAGAGCCCTCAGGGCCCTGATAACGAGCATTGCTACGTCAGGCGTTTTGGAGAACGAAGGTAGCAGAACTTCAGATCTGCTGCAGATGAAAACGTAAGGACTGAGGACCCTTTTCTCAGTGGTAGGCACCGGTTCATGGCTCTTCATATCTGTGTTCTTCTGACCTCCTTCTCCTGAGGTGGATGCATGATATTTTCTTCTAACGCATCCAAACCACAGAAGAAAAGTAAGCAAAGTATTCAGTTTTGATACTGGCTTCTGCTGCTCCTTCTAATCTGTTGGCCGAAGAGCAACACACTAATTTGGGCTGATGGACTTCAGAGATGAGGAAAAAATTCAGAATATATATGCTGTTTTTTAATTGTATTTTATTACTAGGTGACTTCAACAGAATTCTGAACTTAGCTGTCACTATCAAAATTAGTGATGTTGAGGTAACTGGAGATATAACAAGATTTTAAAGTGCATAGATCAATAATTTTATCAAATGTTCAATTAAGAGGGAGGGTCTCTATGTAAGGAAAATATATCCTGTGCGAGTTCTTTTTTTCCCAAAATATTTTAATTTTATCTACCACCCCTGTATCCTCTGGAATAGAAAGTTTTCAGTTCTTTTTCTTTTGATCCTTAAATTCTTTTTCAAGATTAAGTGACACCTAGACTCGCCTCTTTCTTCCTATCAAGGAACAAACCTCTCTGTTGTTGCTGGAAAGTGTCAACATCCAGAAGCTTTATTGAACATGCTGTAATTCTGAATTTAGAGCTAGCTGTTAGTTGCAGCTTTTCCCCTCGCAGCTTTATCAACACAATACAATACACACCATGATGACTTATGATTGCTGAGGGCTAATTAAAAGGCACTGGTATGTCTAGTGACAGTTAGACACTAGACTGTGTTCTCTTTTTCCCATCAACATATCCTTTTTTTCCAATAGGTAGGAATATGGCAATGATACATAGACATCATATCCCTGATTGTTAGAAATGAGTTTACATTTTACTTATTTCTCAGCAAAGGATTTCTCAGTAAAAAGCGCATCATTTGCAAAATAGCAAGTAATGCATTACATTTACTACATTTACTATGGAGAATAGCTGCAGAGCTATTTATTCTGCTGATCTGAGTCGTATTACAACTAAATAAATACAATAGGGCTGGGTCCTAATTTTTTAAACAATGAACAATACATTAGGGTCTTGCTTTCCTATTCTTCTATCATTAACACTGTATCTGTCAAATTCTCTGTGTTTAACAGGACCTGATAATTCCACATAGCATTAGTTATGCATCTTTGGAGACGGGCCAGGACAGATTCTAATGAAATAAGCCAACCACGCAATGAAGGATTTAGGAAGTAGTGCTATGCTGCCTACAACGACATTTTATTACTGATTAAATGATCTCTGAATCTAACTGTTCCGCGGTGTTCTGCAACCTTCCTGTAGCTAGATTCAAAAATTTTACAAGAATAAGAACAATGGGATTCTCAGAGGGTCTAATCTTTTGAAAATGAAGTCAAGTTGTTCAGAATCAGAAGCTGATTAGCTAGCTCATTGCAAATTATGTTAAGGCATATACATTTTGAAAATTAGTTTATTCCTTCAGTAATACAAAAAATGCATCACACACATGCTTCATTGTTTCTGCTGATACTTTTAATAGGTTTCTAAGCAGAGTTTTAGGTTAGGGTCTCACTTATGTGAAGGACTATCCTGTATGCTTCACTTCTCTTATATCCCTGAACCACAATGGCAGCAACAGTATTTCCTCCCTTTGTCCATAATTCTACACCTCCTGTATGCTCAGATCAAGCAGCATCCCTTCTCAAAAGAGAAGGATGCCACAGTCAGAGCCTTTTCTGTAAAAATAACCCAGAATGTGCCATTGTTCTACATAGCCTACAGCATGCTGACGTCTGTCCTTCTTGCAAAGCTTCTCTTTCAGATGGGATGGGCTCCAGCATGGCAGTAGATCAGGGATGGTAACTTTTCTTGAGTTATTAATGTAATTTAATGTAATTTATGCATAATAATTTATGTACATTCTTTTTTGATGGAATTGATTTAGAAGGCAATTCACTTGGATGGAATCTTGAAATGTATGCCTTAAAAGGACTTCAAACAAGCACCAAGAGCTACTGGATAGGAATGCTTTCAAGAATTACAGTCCTATAAATCAATTGTTAGAAAAGAAGTAGAGGAAAACATAGGATCTGGGCATCACTAAATAAATTAACCAATTAAATCAAATTTATCCAATCAATTTAAAAAACTATCTTACCATCATATGAACTAACCCATCACTGTGCTTAGGTAGTACTAGAGTATTTTCATCAGCATAGATCTCAAGTACAATAACATATACTTTACTCCAGTGGAAATACAGTCCATGGTACTAGTGTTACATTTCAATCTACCGAAGATTCCTTTGGGAAGCAAGAGGTCTGTCCTCCCAAGTGTCTCTTTAAGACCAGAAGCTGCGTTGAAAGGCCTTTCTCCACTGAGGCTGGAGAAAATGTTTGGAGATTCTTGCAGATTAAATGGCATAGGACTTTGTACGACATATTCTTTGCTTTCTGATGACTCTTTCATTACAGTTTAATATTACACTGGCCTGGGGATGCAATGACAGTATTTGAGTTTTGGCGTCCCTGACTGATTTGCAAATCTTGAAGCCAATGAAATGCAGGGAAGATAGCATTATTTGAAACACTCAGGAGGAATTTTGTTGTATTCATTCCGTACACCACTTCTTAACCATAACTACAACTTTCTTTCTGGGACTTCTTGTCATATTTATGGTTCTTACCAGGAGTGAATATGCTTTGTATTTAACAGTTATGATGAACGGTTTTTATGTGTCACAGCAAAACTTGGTATTTTAAATTTATGGTTGCTTTGCTTTGAATTTGAATCATGAAATATTCATTGCATTTTGACAACAAAAAGTTCTTCTTACAAATCATTCACTCAATTCATTCTATATACAAATTTGATGTAAGTCTAGAATACAAATTCCATGTAGAAATAGGAGCATTACCACCACAGGGAACTAGTTACCAAACCTTTGGAATCTGAGCATTTGAAGAATAATGCAATTTTCATGATCTTTCCCTCATAAGCTAGGGTGGAGCTGTAAATTCTTTGTTTGGGAAACATTTCTCAGACTCTATAAGTTAACAGTATTTTTGTAAGCAAAAGATCAAAACTCCTTGTTCTGCACCACTGGTTGTATCCATGAAAAGTTGTTATGAGGTCTCACAACAAGTTTTAGCTGTCAGTATTTTGGCATGTTAATTAGCTCCAGACCTATTTAAAATATGTACTTTTTCTTACCTGGACACCTCTAATTTAACTCTTCTGCAGATAGCTTTTCATAGCAAAATGAATCACCATAGAATATAGCCTTACATGAAAATATGGAATAAAATCCACACACAGTTTACACAGTTCTTTACCAACCCCTGAAAATACAGAAGGGCAAGGTTGTGTATCATTCCACTTAGCTTAGTCTTCAGCAGTACTGATCATGAGAAGACTTTTTCCATATCTAGCCAGCCAGGGTTGGTATGGATGAGGTGTAGAGAGAATATTACGCCTCCCTATTTCAGATTTTCATCACTAGCAGTGGAAATGCTAGACATGAACAAATAAACAAAAAAGAATCATCAATATTTCCAACAATCTGCCACCACCTTACTTTAACCATTGATCTCAGTGATTGGAGAAGAAATGCAGAAAGCCTACAATAAGTCTGTCACATTTTAACCACCACACTTCTGGTGTGATTAAACATAATGATAATTAAAACCACAGTGACAGATCATACATATTCTTTTTGGTAGGACTGATTTAGAAAGATCAAACTCTGAAACATCAATCAAGTTTCTTCCCCAGAATCTAGCATGGATCAGCAACTGATCTATCAGTTGCTTCCTTGAAGGGAGATGAGTCGCCTACAGAATTTAAGATACATCTTCTACAATAAACATAACTCCTAGTTCCCTGCTCAGAAAGAGGACTAGAGTTTTGTATGAATTACAATTTCTATATTTCATTAATTGTTTCATTCATTATTTAAATCTTCTATATTTTAACACACAGTGAAAGAGAAAATCAACTGTTTCAATCCAAAATGAACCCAAATTTCATTTTCTTACCAAAACAAACAGAAAAGGTTTAGTTTTGTGGGTTTTCATTTTAGGTTCTAGCAATTTTCCAATTAGCAATTAGGCAAATACTGCAATGAAACTACTTTTCATGAAAAATCTCAGTTTGGAATAAAGGGTCAGAATCAAACCAATCTGCTTCCACATTTTTAAGACTTGTAGCTGATACGATTCAGAAATACTCATAGCATAAGTTGTTCCAGTCATCTTAAATCTGTATTTTTGTATTCCATATTACCATCTCTAATCATGACTTTTGAAAATATGCTAGTGAAAAAATTCTTCTTTTTCTTTTCTTCTTACCATGATGTGTAAAATGTAGCCTGAAGTGCATTTTTCTTTGCTTTTAATTAGATGTTCTGCCTTTTTAAAATTACTCTTAGTCTGCAAAGTTTTCAGAACAGGGCTCTGTCTTTCCTCCAAAATTCTTACCTTTCTGACTATTCTGTGGGTATGTAATGAATGTAAAAAAAGAAAATTTACAAAAGTAAAATAGAATTCATTCATTTAATTTCTGTGCTGGAAATGGTAGCAAGGATTGGTGAAGTTTTAAAGTCTGAATCAGGATTTCAACACTTTAATGTGACTGTGCGAAAGTAGGGTATGAGTTTGGTAGATTTGCTGAGAAGAAGACAGACCTTAACAAATATCCTTTTGAGCAAATCCTGAAAAGGTCAACATTAGTACTGGATCCAGGCAAAGCAGTGTTTCCAGCCATGAGATACCAGGAGGAAAGAGAATGGAGAACTACCATGGTAGACTCCAAAGCCCAAGGAAGTGCTGAGAAAAATAAATATAAGTTTGTTAATTCAACGAGTAAAATAAGGGGGAGAGGTTAACAACTAATAAAATAAGGGAGAAAGGTTACATAAAAGAAATTAAATTAATGCTGAAGCATAAACTGAGAGATAAAATTGGAAACTCCATCATTAGACAATAGAGTATGCAAGAACACTATCCTTAATCTCTGTCATTTCTTCAGTATAAACAGATCTGCTCATTGCTAGCATTATTGCTGAAAACAGATCTCATCAGATTCTACATGGAGGATACATTTCTTCATTTGGAAATAAAAGTATTACTACCATTCTACCTCTTTGTCCAGGAAACCTACATATAAGTCCAGACTGAAAACAGTCAAAGACACAGTTTCTTATTAAGTAGTCAACAACCTGAAGGCATTGCTTTCTCTAAAGCCTTAAATAAAAAATAAGTAAATAGGGAAAGGGGTCCAGAAGGCAGGATCTAATGTAATTTAAAACTGGAATTACATCAGCAGTTTCAAACAGATGGCAGAATGTGGAGATAAATGTGTTAGCTCCTTTAGCTGATTTGGTCTCTCCATTGTTTGCATCATTAAAAATAGGAATAGTTTACAATTTAAAAATATACTAGGTATTATACAACTGGAAAATGGACATGCACTTATTGAGGGGAAGGAGGTAGGATTAAATTAATTTGCCATACTTTAATGTACAGTATCTGGGATGCTTGAGGCAAGTCTGCAAATACGTTTCCTAGGAAATGTGATGAACAAAAATATAATGACCTTGAAATTATACCCCCAAATGTCCCAAGTATTTAGCAACCTGGCTCAGAAGTGGTAATTACATAAAAATACAAAAGATCCTTAATTGCTTCAGTTATAGTGTATCCTGGCAGGTCAGTAACTGTATACAGCTGCAAAAAATGGTACGTGATTAATAGGGAGTTGCTTATGATAGCACTAACTAGCTAGTGTATAGTGCAAAACACTCATTTCTTTTCCAATTAAAGGAAAAAAAGTCTGTTTTTGATTAGGCTCTTCTGAAGGTCTAAGTCTGTAGCAGCAAAATACTCTCACATTATGAAATGTCTTAGTAAAGGACTACACAGCATATATTCATGAAAAACAGGAAGGTTTAAATAAAATACTGGGGTGAAAATCCTATATATATCAAAACAAAACACTTCAGACCATTCTGGTTACCCTAGTTTGTTAGCTGTAAAACAGAAGGGTAAACCAGTTCAAATAATACTGCAGTGATACAGGTGCATGTCCAGAGCTGGAACTAGGCACAAACTTCTGTGATTTGTTAAACTGCAATTAAACATTCTTTTCATGTAGCTCTAAACCCATTTCAGCAAAGTTTGAAGTAGGAAGCATTTAAAATCACATAAGAGAACTTGCAAGCCTTCAGCATAGTTTTGCAGTCCCAAGAGATCTGGGAAAAATCCTGAACTGTATGCAGAGCTCTCCTGATTTGTGAGATCCCTGTTGTGGTTCACCCATCAGCAGGGATCAATTTGGGAAAAATGTGCAGTGGTGATCTTTGGAGCACTGCCTGAAAATCATGCCCTGCAGATGAATTGCTAGAATGGACTCTGCTCAGATCAAAGTGTGCACATACTGAAAATATTACTTGGTTCGCGCTGTTTCCAGAACTTGACTATCCTCTGGCACACTTGCAGTGTGTCAAAGGGATCTTCTGAGCTCTGGGTATGACTCCACCGCGGTTTCAGGGGGGAAGGAAGCAGGAAGTGGTGGGTGGAGAGCAAATGATAATTTTTTTCAAGTGCTAAAGGGGCTAAAATCCAGAAAACTTGGGTTTCCTTCTCTTTTTATCTCTGAGGAAAGGCATGAAACAACACTGACAAATCAGTCTTCATCACTGGCTGTAACATGCAACACTTTATGGAGGTGCGTGGAACAGCTAACTTAGGACCTGGTTAAGGATTTTCCCAGATCTCTCCAATTAGAATTTGATTCACATTTCTGAGGTTTATTTCACCACAGCAGCCACACAGTGATTTTTTTTTTTTAACATAGCAAAAGCTGAGATTCTAGAAAATGAAGTAAGACCTTCAAATAAACACTAGTATGACAAATGGGCTTTTAAAACCTTAATCCAAATCCTGGTCACCACAGCCTTACTATCACTTAAGATACAAAAGTTAAAAGCTCTTCTTGTAATTTATGGTGTGCTTATGTCTATACATTCATACACATAGAATTTAAATCCTAGTCAGTTTCTAGTTTTCCGATAGAGTAATAGACAGATTTAAAGCCTTTAATACTTTCGTATTATCCATTGGCAGAGGAGTATTCTTAAAGGCAACACAGAACTATTTTGCATTATGATTTGACCATGTAATTACCATTATCCTGCTTGTTGAGTGCAAACAGGATCAGAGATGACAGGATTAGATCAAGCACTGGAAAATCAGGTCTGGGGAGAGATTTTCAGAAATCAGCAGACCTGAATCCTACTTTGCTTATCACCCGGACTATTGAACAGTGATAGGGAAGAGCTAGGAGGCAGAGAATTAATGCAACTTTGGGAGCTCCTGGGAAAAATCCTGAATGGTTCCTACCAGTGAATTCCTCCTGAAGTCCCCTTGGAGCAATCTCTGGCAACCCACCTCCACTGTCCTTAAAAAGGCACAGAATTCACCCAGCTCTGTGATCACTCAGCTCTGCTACAGTCCCACTCTGGCCCCACACCTCTCTCCTGCCCAAGTCTTCTTGGGCCTTAGAGAAGATTTAGTGCAGACTAAGCTCCACAGTGCAATTCTGGCCTGGTCCTCTGTAATCCCCATCTTCTGCATCCACACAAGGATCAGCCAAAATCTCACTCAAAGAAAGGAGAATTTCATACAGTGCAGGTAAAAGTCACACTGAAGGGTCTAATTTCCTTAAGGGATCTAATTTCACATTGTTCATTTTCTATATGGACAATGATTTTCAAGTGATGTCTTTCCTATATCCATTCCTACTACAGAGCGCCTCTCGCCCAATCAAAAATACAATTTTCATTTTTTGGAATTGAAATGTAGAACAGAGAGGGTATCCCCCCAAGAGAAATCTCTGCACAGAACAATATTCCTGCAAGGCAGGTCAAATGTTCACTGACACATCTTGACAATGCCCCTTTTCTTTACATTGACTCTGTTTGATTAAACTGATTGAAATGCATTCCATATTTGTGCTTTGTCAGTCTATATTTTGGGCTTCATAAACAGAATGATACTAGATTGACTTACCCAGATACTTCATATAGCTTGTCATGTTGAATTAACTAATGTTGCTTGTACAGTGTGAGAATATGGAGATTCATCTTTTCATTTCTGTATTTGCTTTATAATCAAATAAGGGAAAGATAAAATGTTACACAGATATTTACTAGATATGTTAAATGTCTTCATTTCTTTAAAAACATACAAGGAAAATATTATGGCATTTTTTAACACACATTATATAACATTAATTGCATGAAAACAGAAATACTACAGCAGTAACTAACAGTAATAATGAATAAACGTAGCTATATTTTTTTCTTTTTTTTCCCTTTTATCTAAAAGAAATGGAGGACTAGCTAATTACCTGCAGAAACTGATCATATATGTAATTAACCTTTAAAAATCTGAGCATGGAAAATTTAACAAAATCCCCAAAGATCTGCAAAGTCTTAGGAAGAGTTTATGTCCTAAAGAGTCTTGAAATATTCATAGTGAAGTCTGTAGAAGTTTATTAGTTAACTTCATTTAAAACACAGCAGTGGTTCCCCCATCTCACTTCCAGATATGATAAGTTTTTGGGCTTTTGGATTTTTTAAACTATATCCCAATTGCTTAATGCTCAACACTACTCTTTAATAATATTGAAGTCCATTTTAGTGCAAATTCATTTGTACTAAAGTAAAACAAGCAAACAATGCTAAGTACTGTAAAACAGGAAAAATGGAAATTAACTGTAAGAATGCAATGAGGAGCAATGATGTGAATGCACTGTATTTTTTAGGTGAGACAAAGCATAATCAAATATTATTGTCATTCAAACAGATGTAAGCTGGTCAATACCCTCTTCTGTCCAGAAACTATCTTTATTTGGTTTCGTCAAAAGCTCCTTCCCCCTTTTGTTCCGTCTTAAAATAAGAAAAAACTTTTTCACTGTGAGGGTGACCAAGCACTGGAACAGGTTGCCCAGAGAGGTTGTGGAGTCTCCATCCTTGGAGATGGACACAGTCCTGGGCTGCCTGCTGTAGCTGACCCTGCTTGAGCAGGAAGTAAGAACCATCTCCAGAGGCCCCTTCCAACCCCAATTATTCTGTGATTCTATGGTTCCTTAATCATGAGATGCATGAAACAGTTTTGAAGTCATTTTTGTACTGGATCACTGTATTTAGTACTATATATTGCTTCATTTCAGCAGCAATGGAGTCAGAAGTCCAGACGGAAATTATAGAATCTCCTATTGCCAAAAGTTTATCCACTGCATTTATAGCTTGCATATAATAAAAATATAGAATCACAGAATCGTTTAGGTTGGATGGGACCTCTGGAGATCATCTAGTCCAACCTCCCTGTTCAAGCAGGGTCACCTAGAGCATATTGCCCAGGATCACATCCAGACGGGTTTTGAATAGCTCCAGCGAAGGAGACTCCACCACCTCTCTGGGCAACCTGTTCCAATGCTCTGTCACCCTCACAGTCAAGAAGT